TAACGTTTCTCGTCGTTTATGGATTAATTAAAAGGTACTGGAAAAACAAACACACACACCAGTATAATTCCAAATTTTAAAATTGTTCCTATTTTATGGTAACTCTGACAAATGCTTTAAGGGAACAATAAAAATTTTTTTTCCAGATTTCAGCTGTACGCACGGGCGTACGTGCGTATATGGATGCTACGCCCCTGATATAATAAGTAAGAGTATTGGTACCTCTTTATAGGGGAGAAAAAAATTCAAGCCACGCCCACAAAACACAATCTTGGTTCCCCTTAGGGGTTCTTTCCAAAATTTCCGACGAGCACCCCTATCCTTATATGGGAGTCCCCCCGGGAATCTTGTCCCCCTAGATGAACCAAAAATGCTGTGGACAGAAATTCATGGAAATTTACAAATATCAAGTACTAACGGGAAAATTAAATTATGTACAGGCTGCTCAAGATTTCTATCCCTACCCTGTTAAGAAATGTTATGTTTACATAATCCACTCCGCACATAAGACACAGAAAGACATAGATCGCTTTTGACACTTTTCCGGTTTGTGAATTGTTCCTCCCCGCAGAAGAAAATTAATTTTGAAACTCCTATCCAGGGTACCCATGGGTGTCGTGACGTCACCATTCTTGAGGCACGCACTGGACATATGCTGAGGTTGCATTCGGCGAGGAATTTGATCTCCGTACACTAGAAGGTTTTTTCCCCCGCTTTCTTCCCTTTCGATACGATTGGTTTGACTTCCCCTTCGTCAAGGATAATCAAGAGAGCAAAATGCCGTTGGTGTTTCTCGAACAACTCCCTCTTCCATCGCTTCGGTCTTACGTGACTGCCAGCGTACTGTTGTTCGTTTCGGCCATTCTGTACGCCTTGAATGTGACTGTCGGTTCTGGGGAAAACGATGTGCCAAAAATCTACGATTTCATGTCTCAAGACAATTTTTGTTTCTGGGTAAGTTAAACGATGCTTTGCGAAGTGCCACTTTTGCCAATAATGCGTCATCATTTTTCTAATATTTCTCCTTCCATTTTGGTTTCTTTAGTCGAACTTGAACATGGCCTATTGTGGATTGTTTTTGTTTGGGAAAATTATCCAGCGAGTCGTGTTTGGAGATCTTCGCGCCAGTGAACTTCAGGTGAGTATGGAAGGAGTACAAGGCGTTTCAGGTTTATTAAAAGAGCCTCGGCTATGGCTAAATTAGTTAGCTTTGTAAACCTAAGTTAAGCTTGTTATAACGTGTTGCCAAGAACAAGTAGTGAGAGTAAAAAATTTTAGACGTCTGTTGCATCCAAGCTTACGTGTAAAATCTTATCGTAGTTAACTGAATATTATATTGATCTTTTGTCGCAATTTGATCTTTTTCCCTCTTGAAAAGGGTATTTGTCTGTGTTTGTGGGCCATTTGAATGCTTTGAAGTAACTAATAACAATTAATATAATTGTCACAGGTATTTCAGTCGACCTTCTTGAAATAGATTGACGTCTTTCGCAACCAACGCTTAGTCTAGTGTGCCAAGTTCGTCCTATTTCAAAGGAAAAACATGTAAATTTTCGACTATGTAAATATGGTGTGATTTGGTATTAGAAAACAGTAGTCTTAATAGAGCTGTGTTGTGAAATTCGTGTCATTTATCCGCTGAAATCAACTAGCGTCCACTCCAAGGTACCTTTTCTAGAAAGACAGCTTTACAAATAGCAGAATACAAAACTTCTTATGATGCACAATGCTTAATATTATGATTCCTATCCTTTTCATTATAGCAAATTCAAGACAGATTTTGGAACTTTATTTTCTACAAGTTTATCTTTATCTTTGGAGTGTTGAATGTGCAGAAATTCAATGAAGTGATGTGGTGGACAGCTTGGTTCACTTTGCTGGGTTTCTTCCATCTATTTACACAGCTTTGTAAGGACAGATTTGAATATGTAAGTATTTAGCATAATTTGAATTATTAACTTTGAGAGCTAGAAAAAGGAGGCCTCTTGTTTACTACATTTGAAACCCACAATTATGGTGTTGTCGCACGTGATTGTCGTGTGAATCATCACTCTGGTCTTTATGACCCCAGGCGGTACATGTCTGATGACCTTTAGTGATCAGCACACTACAGAACTCTGTGATTGTCTTCCCTTATAAAAATTTTCCAGAAATTCTTGATGTGACGTAAACAGAATTCAACTTTTTGATTCAGTCCACAGCAAAATTTCAGGGAGAAATTAAACTTATGAAACTTTAGGTAGTCTGGTGTTTCCATTGGTCCAATGTCCCAATTGGAAATTTATTTTCAGTTACGTCCTATTTTATCTGCACCAGTTCCAAGTTTTGATGGCCTTGTTCCTCAACTGAAATGGTGGTTTCTCTGAGAGAACTTTTGAAAACACTTTTCTGAACAATTTTGTGCTGGAGTAATCTCAAACAACACATAACATAAGCGGTGAAAAACATTTTTATACCAGAAAAATTGATACTTCAGGTAACTTTTAATCTGGGATTAGGCTTAACCAGCTTTCAAGCACCCTGGCCCTGGGTACTAACAGGGAGAAGGAAGTGGGTTAGCAATTTCCCAGACCATTCTAATTAGCAAAAGAAATATTCGACATTTCAGCATCGTCGGATGTCATTGTCAAGTAAATGTGTAGCTTAGTTTTTGCGTTATAAAAGGATCTAAAATTATTTGCATAAGGTGGCAAAAACTAAGCTACACATTTACTTGGCAGTGACATCCGATGATGTCGAAATGTCATATATTTCTTTCACTAATATTTTTGTTGAAAATATTCTCTCAAGCCTTACTTATTCATTCTAATTAGGCCATGTTTAAAAGACGAAATGGTAAAATGGTGAAATGTCACTTATGGGTAGCCTAAATAGTGTCCAGGTTAGCCTGAATATCACTGACTTGAATGTGATTAGCTCTCAATAATCGTATGGGTTAACCGTATCCCACGTTGATAAATGCCATCTTGTCATTTCACCAAAAGTTTAAGGCTCAGTCTAACATTCAGTCATCTGATAGTAAATGTACATGAGGTCAAGAGGTCCAAATACTAGTGAAGGCTGAATTATTGTGTTCTGTTCTGAGGCAATGTACTTTACTCCCCACTGAAGAGTACAAAATAATTATTACTAATAGAGGGGAGCATAGGCACCCGTTAGAAACTGAAAAAAGGCACAAAAAATCGCTGAAAACCACAAAATCGCAAGAAATTTCCTCTAAAACCAAAAACCGAATCTCTTTCTGTTATTTCATTTTTATAAGTCTAATCTTGTTTTACTTTCAAAGTTCTTTCAGCATATCCCTTAGTTAGTGCAGAACTCATCATAATCTAAAAATTTGCTTTAGTTTTTTTTGTTCCATGGGAATGGAGTGAGTAAGCACAATGTTATTCCGACGACAAAAAGGGGGGACAACTTGCAATCGAGTTATAGTTGTTAATAGAAACTTGATGGTCCACAGTTTAAGGTCAAAGTCCACAGAAGATTATCTCAGCCGCATGATATCTGAGAAATACTCTTTTGCTTTGATGTCATCTTTAGCTTTTCATAGTCTGCTTGGCAGCTGTTTACGACCCAGATAATGGCTGCTAAGTTAAAGAGACTAGGCTTGTCATACATCATCTAAAGAAAATCTGGGTAGAAGGCTATACAAGTGGTCCTTTGGAATTAGAGTTTTAGTGGGACTGCAGGGTGTAACTTCCTTGACAAAACCAGACAAATCATGAAATGCGTTGGACAGAAAAATCTGAAAAACTGCCATCATGGTTGGCAAAAACCAAAAACCAAGGACTGAACTGGAGAAAACCTGCAAACCGCGCAAGACTCCAAAACCAAAAAATCGCAGTTTGTAAGTGCAAAAACCGAAAAACCGAACCAAAAATTGGCCACATCCGCAAAACTGAAAATCCCAATGCCNTTTTCATAGTCTGCTTGGCAGCTGTTTACGACCCAGATAATGGCTGCTAAGTTAAAGAGACTAGGCTTGTCATACATCATCTAAAGAAAATCTGGGTAGAAGGCTATACAAGTGGTCCTTTGGAATTAGAGTTTTAGTGGGACTGCAGGGTGTAACTTCCTTGACAAAACCAGACAAATCATGAAATGTGTTGGACAGAAAAATCTGAAAAACCGCCATCGTGGTTGGCAAAAACCAAAAACCAAGGACTGAATTGGAGAAAACCTGCAAACCGCGCAAAACTCCAAAACCAGAAAACCGCAGTTTGTAAGTGCAAAAACTGAAAAACCGAACCAAAAATTGGCCACATCCGCAAAACTGAAAATCCCAATGCCCCCTCCTACAAGCTCTTTTAACAACCAGTTAGCCTAGTTGAAAACAGCACACCTGTTAACCTAGATAGTGCTCAAATGGTTAGCTCTAGAATAATTATTGTTTGTAACTGGTAATTATCACAATGTTACATTTAGTGTGACTCGGACTCAGAATTGACTCAGGCTCAGATATAGCTTGCCTTAGTGGTTAACTTGACAAGCGACGCATTCTGTGATAGAAACTATCGCTGTAAGTCCTGATTTCTTTAAAAGTTTCAGACTCACTGTATCCAGTGTCTGGTGCACTAACCAATCATTTAAACTACCTAACCTGCCCAGTAAAGCAAACACTTTAAGAAAGAGTTCAACGGTGCACTACAAATTTGCATTGTTTACTAATCTTTGACTTGTATATTTTTTTAAGCTCTCTTTCTCACCAACTACATCTCCTTGGTCTCATGCAAAAGTGATTGGATTACTCAACACACTTGTGTTATGCTGTAATGGACTGTTTTTCATCTGTCTTTTTGTGGGCTGGCCAGACAGCATCCATACTTTTACATTCATGTTGGCTGAGGTATGTAATTATGGTCTTTGATAATTTTATTCCAGTGATATTAAATTCTCTTTGTGGCAGGGAATTTTGAAAATTCTAGCCCAACATTGTTTGACATTTTTTCTTTTATATAATAATATGATTGTTTTGAAAAACAGCATAATATAACAATGAAAGGTGAGCTTAATTAAGTTTTTATGTCAGTTTTTATAGTCATTAGTTTAGTGGTAAATGTTCTGGTCTAGGAGAGAAAATGCACCAAGAGAGCTTGTTTGTGAATAAGAACCACCACGTACAGTCACTGTAGTTGAACCATGCCAGACAGTAAAGTACAGTACCGGTCAAAGGGATTCCAGCGTTACACGC